TACAATGCCAGAGTCACGTTTTCTTGTCTTTTGGAAGCCACTAAATCACAGTGCAGAATCATCAAAGTATATTGAATTTTACACAGCTCACTTTACAGGCAAAAATTGTGAACATAACTCCTTTTCAATAGATACAAAATCTAATAGTAAACTACCCAAAAGGATGGATAATTTATACTGCTTCTTTCAACAACAAAAGAAGCAGTAAAACTATGACTTACGAGAACTGGGCTACATTGAGAAATTAAAAAAATTGAGACCCTGGAAAGCAACAAAAACAACACAATATAGTCAGAAAAAAAAGGAAACATATCAACTTTATACCTCTGTTATTAGATAAATCTTCATATGCGTAGGGAATAAATACTTGAGCTGAAAATTCTTAATTAGAAAGCATCATGATTTGTAAAATAAATATATGAGTACAGTACATCTAAGATACACAAATAAGCATTTTAAAAGCAGGCCAGTAGTTGTCCAAATATAGAGAAATAGTTGGGCCATCTAAAAGGATTAAGATTGTTGACTAAGACTTTATTTAAGTGGGATCTAGTGAAACTTTCTCTTGGTGTTTAATTTATCAAATTCAAATTCCTAAGGTATTTATTTCAGAAGCAGATTGTTTAATGATTTTTGCCTTTCATAAGTTAAGATATTATTACATCTGCAGTTATGGTGATACAAATATAAAACATGTTAGCATCCTTTTGGTTTTGGATAGCCATTAATGGTCTTCTCTATTTGGGTAGAATTAATTTATCCATTCCCAAATTGGTATGCCTCATTCCAAACAGACTTTTCTATGGAATAAAATAACATATTTTTCTTGTTTCTATGTCTTTTATAAAGTTGATTAAGGAAAACTGAATTAATAGTGACATTGCAAGAATAGATATGATTATAAAGAATGGCAAAATCACTACTTTAAAGTTCATTCCATCTTTAAATTTTGTAGTAATAAAAAGAAGATATAACATTGCAGCTCAAATATTACTATCCTTGTAAAAGCTGGGAGAAACCAATAATGAAATTCTACATTTGTTAGCTTATGGTATGGTACAACCAAACATTCACCAAAATAAAAATGAGGTCCGTATGCATATAAAGTCAACTCTTTATCATAAGTATCATTAGAAACTATAGAGCCCCAAATGAAGTCTTGAGGGTAAAGCTCTTAAAATAAAGAATAACATTTTAAGTGCATAGCTATTACAAACTCATTTGATATTCATTTTAATTGTCATGACTATAATGAATATACTTTGTATTCAAACAGATGTCACAAGTACTGCTACAGAAGTTCCCATATAATTCAGTCTTAGTTAAAAACAAGTAAATGGAGATTTATAATTGAATGTTACCAGGAAGGAGGGAAAAAGCCAATTACGGCAAACATTGGCTCCTTCAAACGGCAAATTAAAGATTTTTATTAAATTGTGTTCTTTCTTGTTTGAACATATACAGAACACAGTGATACAGGAAAACTTGCCTTTCCTTGCCTCAGCTGTTCAGAGATTAGTTAGCCTGGAAAATAGAAAGTGGGAGTGGGAAAAATGACTCATAAGGGTAGGTTGAAATTTACTTCACAATATTTAGAGACTGATCTATGAAAAGAATTAAAAAATACTACAATGCCAATTTATCTTAGCTGAAGAAACAGGTAATTATGTGTGTGATTTTATTTCAATTGATCAGACAAGTTCTAACATTCCCTTTAATCTTCCCCCACATGGAGGACTGGCACCTTAACGCCCAACAGGAGAGACCTTCCCACCCTAAAGATGGTGTTTCCCAACGTATGGTGCACAGAACTATCCATGGAGCTGTTTTCAAAGCAAATGTTCCTGGGTGCCAACTGAGCTCCGTGAAATCAGAGTTCCGGGAAGAAGCTGTGGAATCAGCATCTCGAGAAGCCTGAAAATTCTCCTGCACGCACTCATTTAAAAACAACTGCCAGACGGTGAGCTGAGATAATATTCAATGCTATAGATTTTCATTTCATTCCAATCAGCAAACATTTATTAAGTACCAAGCCTATGTGAAAGAAAAATTTCATACATATAGGGTGTCCAAAAGGCAAGAAGCTTGTGACAAATTTGTCTTCAAACTACGATTTTAGTACAATGATAATCTACAAATGTCTGGAAACACAAAGAGAACACGGTGCTTATTGTTCAGATTAACAATTAACTTTTGATTTCAATTATTAATTCTTCCCCTGAAAAGGCATCTGGAGGTTGAAGTGTGCTTATTATTAGAAAATGTAACTGAAGTATTTCTTAAAAAGAAATGTATCCTATTTTTCCTGATGTTTTGGACATCCTGTTTTGAAAAGGAGGGTAATAAGTGGTTGAGGCTTCTTCGTGGCTGGAGGGAGACACTTGGGGTGTCAATGAGGGAGAGAAAGGAATGAACTGCAAGACTGGGAGCTCTAAAGACAAACTCTTTCGCTTACCTCCCACTTAATTCTCCTGGTGCCCAAACTACAAGTTGCACTTATTTAAAAGTCATATTGTGTTTTTTAACCACCAGAGCAAAACTCAAAAAGTGAAAGTTCACTTGGGAGTTTAACAGAAGAATTGAAGAAAATTTAAAAAATAAAGCTGATGGTACCAAGTTATTTGTCTGGTCAGCAACTTGCCCTCACTCCCATCCCAACCCCAGGACTGGCTGAAATCTTTGAAACGAACTTCATTCAATAAGGAGCACTCGTTCATGAAACCATGCAGACAAGCTGATCGGGTTCATTACTTGTGCCTAGTGCCCTGGATCTTCTATAATCCTTGGTTGACTTTTCCTAGCACTGGAAACCGGATCCAGTGAAAAAGCCTGTGATAAGTGAAGGTGAACAGAAAGACAGCTGGGCTGCAGGAACCTTAAAGCTTTTCCATGGCTCATGGCAGTGGTTCTCCAAGAGTGGTCTCAGTCCAGCAAGATCAGCATCACCTGGGAACTCATTGTCTGTCTGCTCCGGCTGCCATAACACAATACCACAGGCTGGGGGCTTAAACAACAGATGTTTATTTTCTTTCAGTTCTAGAGGTTGGAAGTCCGAGATCAAGGTCCCGGCCAGTTTGGTTTCTGGTGAGGGCTGTCTTCCTGGCTTGCAAATGGTCACCTTCTCACTGTATGCCCACATGGTGGAGAAAGAGAAAAAGCTCTCTCTTTCTCTATTTATAAAGCCACCAATCCAATCAGATTAGGAACCTAGTTTATCACTTCATTTAACCTTAATTAGCTCCTAAAAGGCCTATCTCAAATACAGTCACATTGGGGGTTAAGACCTCAACACACAAATTTTAGAGGGACACAATTCAGTCCACAGCACTCATTACGAATGCAAATTCTCTAGCCCTGCCTCAGATGTATTGAATAAGAAGCAGGGAGGGCACCCAGCAATTTGTGTTTTATTAACGTCTGCAGGTCGTTCTAATGCACGCTCACGGCTGAGGAGCAGTGGCCTTCAAGGAAAAGTCCCAGCTCCACAGCATAGCGTTTAGTGTCCTCCACAGTTTCTCCCATTTTTACTTTGCAACCTTATTTCTTACTGCTCTTCCACCTGAATTCTGCTTCAGCTCAACTGCTTCTCACCGTGACCCAAAGCATCATTCATTCTGTCTTCCAGACTTTTGCTCACCCTCTTTCACCAACCTTCAACAGTCTTTCTACCTCTTTATTGAAATAGCACCTCAACATCCCAGCCACAATCACCTCTTCCTCCAAACAGCAGAAGCACTAATTGTCTGAATCAAGCATTTTTCACATTTTACAGACTTGACTTTCTTAGAATCCATGGGTTACACTTGTCTGTAATTTTTTTTTTATTTTATAATTGTTTTTTTGAGGAAGATTAGCCCTGAGCTAACATCTGCTGCCAATTCTCCTCTTTTTGCTGAGGAAGACTGGCCCTGAGCTAACATCTGTGCCCATCTTCTTCCACTTTATATGTGGGATGCCTTCCACAGCATGGCTTGATAAGCAGTGCATAGGTCCGTGTGCGGGATCCAAACTGATGAACCCTGGGCTGCCGAAGCAGGATGCATAAACGTAACCAATATGCCACCTGGCCGGCCCCACTTGTCTGTAATTTTAGCACCAGGATTTGTACATAAAAAGCACTCAGATCTTTAGAATATTGTATATTATTTTGCTCATAACTCTTCTCTAAAAGCTACTCTCTACGACATTGGCTCCAATACAATAATGATTTGGGGCATGAGACAGCCCATTGGTCTCTGACTTAGCATTACGCCATTTCCAAAGTTGTTTAATATAAAAAATTAATACACTATTTTCTATTTATTAAGTCCTTGAGTGTATAAAACCCTATAATAAGTATTTAGTATATTATGTCATTAAATTCTCATAATCACCCTGAAATAGGCATATGATTCCTATTTGACTGAAAAAGACATTGGAAACTGAGACTTAAGAGTTCAACTAACTCCCCCAAAGTCACACCTGGGGATGGAGAGGCTGAAAAGTAGGAACCTGCTTTTCTGACTCAAAGCACATGCTTTTATACACTGAGAGATTTAGTCATCTGTCAACATGTTGAATTCACTGTCAAGAACACCAGAGTGTATCACTCTTGCAGTAAAGAAATTTCCAGAATATCCTTTGGAAACTCTCTATTTTCCATATCTCTAACACACACACACACACCCCCCGAAGGATTGCTAAAAGTGAGCCATCATGAAAAAAAAATTTAGGTTGGACTTCTTGAGACAGATAATGTTAAATGACTATAGACAACAAGGAGTTCTGAATTCTGTCATTATCCTATATGCAGTTTACCTGCAGACAGTCTTTTGAATGTTTTCATCTTTGCATTAAAGACAAATTCAAAGGGAATTACTTGAAAGTTCACAAGGAGCTCTGATAAACTTTTGCCCAAAGCAACTACTGATAATTAAGCGCCAGAAACACTCACACACATATATATGCATATAAAACAGAATAATCTATAAGTTTAAAACAATGCATTTTTTTAAAAAAATCATGCTTTCTTAGCTTCATTCCTCAGAAAACAAACCAAATGATTTATTGTACTTCTTCACAGCTGGGCACACGTTGAAGACTGGACTAGAAGATAATAAGCCACACCTGTTGTATTGTTTAGGCAATTCCAAGCACCAGCTGAGACAGTAATTAAAAGTAGCATTCCTTCTTGGCCTACCTGGGGTGTTCAACAACCTCGACATCTTGCAGAAATAGGAGACGTACTGCTCACAATACTCGGCGCTGCTGGTGATGGCGCTGATCTGGTCCATGGAGGCACTGTAAATGAGCTGTGTCACTGAGTATTTTTCTGGGTTGTAGCCCACCACTGTCGTCTGCATGTGCAAATCGTGAGACACTATGGTCCACACTTTGTCCTCTGTGGGGAGAAAATGCCATGACAATGGGTCATTAGTATGCAAACACTTGTTCAAATGTCAGAAAATAATTGAGCTACCATTTCACTGGTGTTTTCGCTGAACTGAGGAGGAACAGAGTTAGAGATAATAATCCTTAAAATAATTCCCGCCCTTTTCTCACACCTAAGGTCTGCTTATATTGACAAAGTAGAAAAGTAGAATGTTTTATTAGAAACATACACAAAATACCTCTTGAAAACAAAAACAAATAGCCTGAGTATCTGGCTGATGCTCTACTGGCCGCAGCATTGACTGTGAGGCCCGTGATATTCTGACTCCTTCCTGACTCTAAAGGCCATCACTCCTCCAGTAGAACAGGATTTGCTCTTCCCTAAATTAACTCTGCTCTCTCAAGCCTCTGGATCTTTGTACCTGGCTGTTTGCTGCAATCAGAATATGCATCCTTATCTTGTCAATAAAACCCTGACCTTTCCGGTAAAATTAGACACTGCATTCTCTGTTATTGAAATGCTCTGTACACGTGGGACAATACAAATACGTAATTATCTTGGTGTTTTGGACCCTGAAAATTTCAATGTGTGAAAAGAAGAAGCAGATAAAAGAATGATGAAGTTAAATTAAAACCCTATATACTTCTGAATTTGAATTAAAACCGTCATTATAAACCCATGATAATGTTATCTTTTAAAAAATGTAGACATATGTCCTAGGTCTGTCCACTGAAAAAGCCCCCAAACAAGGACCAACGTCTAGCACCAGATCGTCATCACTCAATACACTTTCCATCAAGAGAAAACTGGGCTCCCTGCAGACATGATTGAGTCCACGGCTGGAAATGTACAGGATGAGCCTGGAACATACTGTCACACGAGAAGTTATTGGAGACATAGGGCAGTTCAAAAACCCCCAGGGCCAGAGAGGGACAATTTTAACATCAATAAGAATTTCCTGCAATGGAATAAAATATATCAATTATATTTAATTCCATGAGTTCATTAAAATAAAAAGAAATGTTCAATTTTGGAAGATGCTAGGTAACTGATTATTTTGAATATTCGTAAAATAAAGGCAAAGAATCAAGCGTTTAGCCTATCTTACCAACTTGAATTGTAATGTAACTAAATGCTCCCTTTGTGGAAATATTTCAGCTCATAAATGAAGACTAAATAATAGAATTCGAGTATCATCATTTTCTAAGTTCTAAAAAGTAGGATCTACGCAATGATTATTCATGGCTGCTTATAACCAAAAGTGAAACCAGAGGAATACACAACACTACACGTGGAGCAGCGTGGACAAAAATCAAACACCAATTTCAGCAAGCTTGCAGCCCTCACGGCCGAAGTCCAGGAATTCCTGGGGAGAAGGGAACATGCTAAATGGCACCAAGGGGAAACAATCAGAAAATTAACACTGAGGGAAACCCTAGAGATTATACAACCTAGCGTTTACAACAGATAAATTATAAATGACAAGGGAAGAGAGACCTATAGATTAAGAGACTTCCTGAACTTGCCCCTCATGCAGTTTCCTTATGTCAGTAAATGGCAGCTCCATTCTTCCAGTTGCTCAGGACAAAATCCTTGGAGGCACCATTACTTCCTCCCTTTCTTCTACACGCGTCATCCAGCATGTCAGTGAATCCTGTCGGCTCCACCTGTTTATTAGTATCTGAGGACTCCTCAGCCCCACCCCACCACCACTGCTCTGGTCAAAGCCCCCATCGCCTCTCGCCTGCATCACCACAGTAACTTCCAACCAGGCCCCGGCTTTCCAGCCTTGCGCCCTCACACCCACCCTCCACGCAGCAGCCAGGCTGAGCCTTTTCAAATACAGGCCAGATTCTGCCTCTCTGCTGAAAGCCCTCACACGGTACCCAGTCTAGTTCAGAGTAAAAGTCTAGTTCCTAACGTAGCCGAAGGCCCTCCGTGATCCTACTCCTCCTCGCTCCTAGCTCTCACCCTGCTAAACTCCCCTGGCTCATTTAGCTCCAGCCACACAGACCTCCTGGTGTTCCTCAAACACGTCAGGATACCAGGGAAGCTCCCCCTCCGGAGACTTTGCTCTTGCTGTTTCCTCTGGCTGGAGCCGGCCCTGCTCAGAAACCCTCAGGGCGCATGCCGGCTCCTCCTGCCCTTTGCTCCAGTCCCATCTTTTCCTTTGCTGATCCCCAACCCTTCACAGCTGCTTCCTCTCTCCCCATCCTGCTTTCGTTTTCCTCGTAGCGTTGATCTCAATCTGACAGTGCCTATTTTCCTTATTTTTTACTGTCTGTCTCCCTACGCTAGAAGGGAAGAAGGTGGGGACTCTTTCCGACACTGTGTGCACAGTGCCCAGAACAGCAATCGGCACACGATAGGCCTTCAAGAAATACTTTTTGAATAGAAGAGTGAATTAACAAAAATAAACAGAATACAAATACTTGATCCAGGAACTTCTTAGCATCACTTTGGACAAGCTACTTCACTCCTCTGAGCCACAGGTTCCCTTCATCTGTAACACCAGCCTCCATGTTGGAATACTTTCCAGCTTGCTCTTCTTAAATCAATTAAACAAGTGCAGTTACGGTGGCCCCTGTAATAATACATTTTCTATAAGATAACTTATTTTTCCAGTTCACCTTCGGCCTCATCAGAACCGCCTTCCTTTAGTTTTTCTGATGTAGCAAAGAAGCTACAAGATATTTTAGTAATTCTGTCACTCTATGACACGATTCTGGCGACAAACTGATTGTCACTATATCCAGACCTGCATTTTTACCTTCACTTAATTAAAGATCCATTAATATTAATTAAATTAGGTTAATTTTATCTCTTTTCTGTTACAATCAGCCTCTGGCATAGAATTCTCAAATGTCTGACACTTTACCAGGATCTTGTCCTGCAGCAATATTCCAGAGCTCTCTTTCTGTAACTCATTAGGAATAGCATTCTAATCTGAACTGTCTTTAAAGGATCATAAACCCCTTTTGAATATACAGAAAATAATGTTCATAAAGGCAAACATTAATTTAAGCAAGTAAAAAAAAAAGGTCACCCATTATGGTCTCTCTCAATAACTTTAAAAACATTAACCAATTTGTTAATGTTAATGAGTCTAAGATTTTAGTCCTGGTGACTTCTTGGCCCTAAACTCTCCTTCCACCCCTCTCACCACACACATTTCAGTATGAAACTCCTGTGCACTAACATCTTTATATTTGTTGTATAGCCCACTCATTCATTCAACACATATCACTGAGTACCTGCTACATGACAGACGCGGATCAAGGCACCAGGGAAACCACAGAGAAAAAAGCATTCTTACATTTTTGCAGCTTACATTCTAGTGGGGAAAAAAAGCAGATAAAAAGTGAAAAATTAAAATAATATGTATAATTGGCAAGTGATAATAGTGAGGAGAAAAACTACATCAGGGAAGGGAAGAACAGGGGACTGTGTGTGGGGACTGCATTTTTAAAAACAGAGGAAGCCATAACAGCGCTCACTGAGAGCGACATTTGAATGAGTAAGGGCATTATCCAGCAAGCCATGTGAATGTCTGGGGAGGAGTCTTCCAGATAGAGGGAATGCAAATGAAAATGTTCTAATTCTGGAATATTCCTGGTATCATTCAGACATACAAGGAGGCCAATGAGTGAGGGAGAAGAGCGGGAGTTGAAGACAGAGGTGTAATGGGGATGGATGCACTGTGATCTCAACAGGAGATGGAAAGCTGAGGGCATTGGAAGCTTTGGGGCAGTTCAAGTAGTATGCTTTACCTTAGTCCTTGACATACCATTCTTTGCTTCAATAAAATTATACTTCAGAAAGGTTTGAAAAAATAATAAAATGGATGTATCTTTATAAAGATTTAAGACTTTTTACAGTGTCGTGGCATTATAAAAGGTAATATGTAAGCTCTATTTTGATGGCATAAAACAATTACTGTTGATGTATCTTGTAAATTATTTTTTAATGCTTGCATATTACACGTTGTAATGGTTCCTTTGGAACTATTAAATCTTAGGTGACAAATGGATATGAATGATTTTGCAGGTATCCAGCATCTAGGAGAAAGAAGGTTATGCTATACAGATTTTCCTTTGCTAGTATCATAAGTGAAGAAATGAGGAATCTTATTTCCATATTCACAGTGTGTTTATATAATACATATTATCATATATGTGTGTAATGCAAATAGAAACTACTGTGTAGGGCAAGTTCTAAATTTCTGCAACTGACCTATTTTCACAAAGAAGCAATTGATAAACTAGGGTGTGTCAAATACTCTCTTTGGAGTAGTGTGTTATGAAAATGTTCTTTGTGATTACTGAAAGCTTAGTATCTGTCTCATCATGCAGTCACATATTTAAAAATTGTCACATTGTACATTGTTTCAAATACAGCTGATTTAATGATATGTTTCAAATACTGGAGCACACATGGAACATATCATGGAAACACTTCCCTCTCCTTGGCGATAATGGGGTCTTCAAGGTTACCCAGCTTAGTTATGCTGACATGTACATTAGAAAGATCCCTCTGCTACTTATACCAGTGACCCCACATCTTTATTTTATTTTTAATTCTCAAGTAAGTCACTTCATGAGAACTCAATTCCTTGCGTGGCTGGAGTTCTGACCAGGGACTGATGAAGCGACCAAATGACCAGCGAAAAAAGGCAAATAACTCCTCCCAGAATATAACCAGTTTCTTCATGTATATGACTCTTATTTTACTCTTTTCCATGCTATCCATGTATAATCTGAGCAAGTCTGTATGTAGTATATCTTAATAACAGTCCAATCTGAGCTGAGTCCAGTGGGTAAGTTGTTTTGTGTGTCCTATACACCTGCATATGCGTCTAAGTGTTTTTGATTTTCAAACAATATCACTGTACTGGTTAATGCCAAATTTGTAAATCTGAGAGCTTTTTTTCACCTTTATTCGTATTAACTCTGAAACATGATAAATTACCTAAATTTAGGATGGTATATAGAACTTGCAGATGGGCATGA